ATCTACGAGATGTTCAGGTCAGCTCAATCTTCTCGAGCTGATGGGGCCAGCCAGATCAATGGCACACCAAGAAGAGCAGGAATGGGTCTCTCTGCCGCTTCGGCTTCGGGCTCGGGATCAGGAATGGGCGTGACTCAGCATGCTACCAAAGGTCCTAGACTTTATCCTCATCGCCTCAACTTCTATATTCGGCCTCCAACGCACGAAATCACCATTGAACAATTCGAGACCTGGGCCATCGACAGATTAAAAGGTGAACAAGTCGTAGGAATGTCCTGCCTCTTCTGAGCTGATTCAACTTCGAGCTTGTCCAAGTGGGGAACATTGCACGCTCATCCACTTGCCCCTTCTTCTTGTACGCTCTTCCGCCCCCCTCCCCCCGCAGTGCTAGCAGAGATCGAATCCTCTTCCACCCGAAACAAGTCGTGGGCAGAGACGAAGGAGACCATCTCGGCAATGTGCAAAAAGTATTTGCCTTTGAGCGCCACGACGGCTGGGATGAGCGGAGGGATCGACCTGACCAAAGAGCGCATGAAGGACCACGTCTCTCATTTCGTTCTCAGATTGGCTTTTTGCAGGTCGTGAGTCTGCCCATACGAGCTGCATGCTTGTTAGCCAGACATTCCCGGTAGCAACAAGCTGATCTTCCATGTTCGGCCTTTCCTCCTGCGCTGCGCATTTCTTGTGGCCAGGGAGGAGCTCAGGAGACGCTTTTTGAAAGCGGAACAGACTTTGTTCAGGATCAGGTTCGAATCGGACGATGCGGCCGAGAGGGACGCGTTCCTAAAGACTTTGAACTTTGATTGGGTCTCGGTGAGTAGATGATAAAGACTACCTCAGTTTGGGTTGGATGCACGCACGAACTGATTTGAATGCGCTCGCACGTCTCGAAGGTGACGGAAGAGGAAAAGATGGCCAACAAGGCTTCTTTGCTCGCCACCAGCCCATGGCTCACGCTCAGCTTTGACAGAGAAAGCTTTTTCAAGGTGAGCGACCATCCAGAGATGCGTTTTGGTGTACGTATTTGGGGGCCCCATGAACTGAAGCCATTGGCGCACACTTGCCCTCGATTATAGGTTCACTGGACACGAGTCATCGACTTGGTGGAGAAACGACGCGTGTTCCTTTCAGGAGGCACGGCTTGGGTGCCTGCCAAGGAGCAGGGCACGCTAGTCGTTGCAGAGTTCTCCACTCGGCTAGCCAAGGATCTCGAGGTGCGCAGCATAGAAGCTAGTGTGATCAATGCAAGGTCTTCCGCGCTGACTCTCAATCTTGTCTTGTCTTTGCTTGGCGTCCTTGCTCGTAGCTCACCGCTCGAGCTCTACCGCGTTTAGACGAAGATGACAGACTTCTTCCCGTCCTTTCCCACCTCTCCCTCGGCTTTATTGCGGGCGTGACGTCCGACTATTCGGACTCTGTCATCAAGCTCGAAGATGGTGGTCACATCACCGCTGCGCACGTTGATGCGCTTGTGAGGAAACATGCTCCGATGTGCATGCGATCTCTGCACGAGAATCTGAGGAGGGACAAGCACCTCAAACACTATGGTCGATTGCAGTACAATCTCTTCCTCAAGGTGCGTGATGATCGTGGCTCATCATGCACGACTTTGTTAACGAGGCAGACTCTGATAAGCCTGCCTGACCGCCTTCAGGACCTTGGATTACCCATCGAAGAAGCGCTCGTCTTTTGGCGTAGGGCTTTTAGCAACAAGACGGATGACCAGTTCAACAAGGAGTACAAGTACAATATTCGACACGGTTATGGACTGGAAGGCAAGAGGGTCAATTACCCGGCGAAAAGGTAAGCAGTCCGCCTCCCCATCGTAATGTTAGCGAGCCACAATGGGGAGGGGAGACTTCATCTGATTGCCTGCCCTTTTCCCCGACTCTTGCAAACTTTGCGCGCTTCTCTGCGCAGCTGCGTGCGCATCATTACCCAAGATCAACCCGGTCCACAAGATAATCACGGTTGTCCCTTCCGGCACTACTCGCAAGGTAATCTTTCGGCCGCGCTGACGGCCCACTACGGTCTGACGCCCAACGAACAGTCCGAGATCCTGACGGCAGTGAAAGCTCAGCATTATCACGTCGGCTGCACGCGTCTTTTCGAAATCACGCACGCCAAAAATGGTGTCAGAAAGGGAGACGGTTTGGGCAATGGAGAGAGCGCGAGTCATCCGAATAGATACTTTGAGAGGAGCTTCGAGCTGGCAAAGGATGGGCAGCAGCGGGATGTGGAGATGGAGGTGGATGATAGTGTGGCTAGGGAAGACGCGAGGAGAGCAAAATTGCAAAAAGGAGTACTGGACGCTTCGCAGATGAAAGACGAGGTGAGTTGAGTTGCAGCGTGCTGCATCAAGTGTCGAGCGTGTCTTTT